CCCCCAGGGGCCGCCCCGCGCGCGCGAACTAGAAATATTGTGAACCAGGTACCGGAGATCTTAGCACGCTCTGGCCCGTTGGGCCGGCGAATTCAGACGCCGCTCCCTCGACACTCAGGAATCGCGCTCTCGCTGTGGATTTCCTCACGATTTACGTGGGAATCTCGCTGTCGCTCGGGACTTCCTCGCGATTCGTGCAGGACGCACGCTTGAGCACCCCGCTTGCTCGACCCGGCCGCCTGCACCCGTCCCCTCCTGCTATTCTCTCTTGTGTTCCATCGTCCTCACTCCCCCTTTATCCCTTCCTTCCAGTCGTCCTCTCTTCCCCTGCCTTAAGGGCTGCACGACATGCACTTTGCAGGTCAGAAAGATATATACCCCCAGTGACGTACGATCAAAGCCGAAGCGGGCGGGTAGGGATATACGTGCTGAGTGGCACGCGAGTAGGTAAGGGTGGTCATTCTTAAAATATGTGTTGTTGTTGCTGCTGTTGTTGTTGATGACGAAATTTTGCTTCTGAAGAATAATTATAGTTGATCCCCCCTCAGGTAAGCATTGCATATTTCAATGTATGTGCTCCTCCTGGGGCTCGCACCTAGCTTTAGAAGAGAAACCGGGTGTCACCAAGCGGGGATGTTGGCCCCCGAGTTACAACAACAACGGCTTCCGCCAGATACAACTTATTGAAAAGTCGCGGTCGCCCGCGGGATTCCTTGAACATGTATGTAGGGATCGCACTCTCGCGTGGGACTTCCTCGCAATTTATTTAGACGCCGCGCCCTCGACACTCAGGAATCAGGATCTCGCTTTGGCCTTTCCCACGATCTACTTGGGAATCTCACTGTCGCTCGAGACTTCCTCGCGATTCATGCAGGTCGCACGCTTCAGCAACCCGCCTGCTCGACCTGGCCGCCTGGGCCCGCCTTCCCGACTCTGCCCGCCTGGTCTGCCCGTTTGGTTCTGCCACGTGTTTTCTGCTCCTCGCCCAGGTAAGGAAGATAGACCGCCAAAGGGGGTATGATCGATGACGAAGACGGCGGGTATCGAGGGTTTGGGATATACATGTTGAATGGCACGCGAACAGACAAGAGCGAACAGACTTAACCTCATTTTTGTTGTTGTTGTTGAATATTATTACTTCTAAAGAATAATTATTGTTGGGCCCCCTGGTGCACGCCCCCCTCGCCGCGCATAGGCCGCAGCCACATTTTCATCATTTTCGTGAGGAAGCCTCAGGTAAAACGATGTGATCCAGATCCGGTTGTTTTGTTGTAAAAGATAAATCCGTTTTCACCTTGCAAAAAAAAAACAACACCTAAAAAATGACATATCAAGTTCTAATATAAACATTTCTTGTTCTAATATAATCAAATTTCAAGAATCCCTTGCAAAAAAATAAGGTAAAGTGGACATTCGCGCGCGCAAGACGAAATCCTTCCCAAACCTTAGTTTTCGTAGCGATTTTAACATAAAAACATCAAAAAACCAATGGTTTTTCTTTAAAACAAAAAACTGTCAAAATTTCATCCCGCGCGCTCTTGCGGATTCGTAGGAAACCCAACACTTTTTAAACATTTCTGTCAAACGGGCTTTTGCGAGCAACTTTTCCGAACTTCTGCAACAACGGTTGCGCACCTGCCAGGGCCATCATCCCTGTCAAATAATACCATGCGGAACACATTCGTTTTTTCTTCGCGCGCGCACGCCGTCGTCGTCGGCCGCGGGGCCCTGAATAGTAGCCACGGTCGTCCGCATGCCACGAAGTGAAGTGTCCGAACGTCATAGGTCGGGAAGCTGGGTGTGGGTGGTGGCGAAGAGTCGTTTGGAAATTTGGTAGAGCTTGAACCGGCCCCCCCACAAAGTGGGGGTATTGCCCGCCTCCAATGAAAACCCTGGCACTGGTGAGAACGGAGTGTCCCCCCATTCTTAAATGCATTTGATTTTTTAATGTTTGTAGTGTTTTTGTTGCTGCTCTGCTGCAGCTTCTGCGCTGCTGCAGTTGTTGTTGTTGTTGTTGTTGTTGTTGTTGTTGTTGTTGCTGCTGCTGTAGTTGTTGTTGTTGTTCTTGGTGGATGGTGGTGTGTCGGTGCCTTTTGTTGTTGTTGTTGTTGTTGTTGTTGTTGTTGTTGAACATTATTACTTCTAAAGAAAAATTATTGTTGGGGCCCCTGGTGCACGACCCCCCCGCCGCGCCTAGGCCGCAGCCTCATTTTCATCATTTTCGTGAGGAAGTCTCAGGCAAAACGGGTTGGTCCGGATTCGGTTGTGTTGTTACGATCGGTTTTCCCTTGCAAAAAATAAGCTAAAGTGGACATTTATTGTTCTAACATAACCAAACTTCAAGAATCCCTTGCAACAAATAAGGTAAAGTGGACATTCGCGCGCGCAAGACGAAATCCTTCCAAAACCTTAGTGTTCGTAGCGATTTTAACATAAAAACATCAAAACACCAATGGTTTTTCAAAAAAAAAAGTGTCAACATTTCATCCCGCGCGCTCTTGCGGATTTGTAGGAAACCCAACACTTTCAGGAACACGTTACCACCAAAAACCAGTACAGGTGTCCAGTGTTGGAACAGGGGGAAAAGTCGTATACTAAGCTAGCGTCCAGAAAATGTTACCACAACAATTCACTGTACCCATGCGCCAGTGTAGTAGCCACGGTCGTCCGCAGGCCACGAAGTGAAGTGTCCGAACGTCATAGGGCGGGAAGCTGGGTGTGGGTGGTGGCGAAGAGTCGTTTAAGAAATGTGGTAGAGCTTGAACCGGCCCCCCCACAAAGTGGGGGTATTTGGCGGGCGTCGTATGAAAACCCTGGAAACACAGGAGAGAACGTAGAGTCCCCACGTGCTAGTAATTTATGTTGTTGGTTAGCTGCGCCGAAATCTCCAAAAACCATTGGGTTCTTAAGATTTTTAGCACCGCGCATCATAAAATCACACGAATCGCACCGTAGGTCCTCGAAAAACACCTGCACGACTTTTCAAAATTTCCACCCGCGCGCGCTGTCCGAATCCTAAAAAAAAACCAATGGTTTTCCAACATTTATGTTACATGAGCTCGCGCGAGCTACTTTCGCACGCTCTTGCAACGGGGTTCGCGCGCCTGCCAGGGGCCACAATCCCTTGCGGTTGCGCCATAGGTTGCGCCCTCGGCCGCCGAGAATAAAACGTCCCCCTATTGGGTTAACAAGGCTTAACAACTTCTGTGGGTGTACGAACGTAGGCTTAACAACTTCTGTGGGTGTGTACTCCACGCCAGTGTAGTAGCCACGGTCGTCCGCAGGCCACGAAGTGAAGTGTCCGAACGTCATAGGGCGGGAAGCTGGGTGTGGGTGGTGGCGAAGAGTCGTGTGGATATTTGGTAGAGCTTTCACTGCCCCCCCACAAAGTGGGGGTATTGGCTGGCGTCGCAAGAAAACCCTGGCACTGGTGAGAACACTGAGCGTTCGGGTAAAGTGATTGTTGTTGTTGTTGTTGTTGTTGTTGTTGGGTGAACCCCAGGCTGGGGCCCCGTGCCCCCCCGCCCCCCCCAGCACAACGCAACGCAACTCAGGGTTCCAGAGTGTGTTCTATTAGGCTTTTGTGTGGGTCCCTCAAGGGCCCCTCAGGGCTCCTGTGGGCCGTCGGGCTCCCACAGGGCTCCGATAGCGTTATGCCGGAGTTTTATAGGGATTCATCGGGATTCCTAGGGAGCTCCAGTTAGGATCCTAGAGGGTTCCATGGGAACCCGACAGGGATCCCAGAGGGATCCTGTAGAGTACCGCGCGGGTTCTGTAGGGTTCCGTCGGGGTCCCATATGGACCTGGGTTTCTCTGGTCTGGACTTTGGCTTAGTTGGCGCAGGGGAAGGTCCATGGCGCCTTGGACTTTGGCTTATCAGGCGTAGGTGAAGTCTATGGTGCCCTTGACTTTGGCCTAGCAGGCGTGAATGAAAGTCCATGGTGGTTTGGATTTTGGCCCAGGAGCGTTACGTGGGGACACCGTGATGTGATTACTTGCCCCCCCCGCCTCACCCAAATAATCCTCCCCCTCCCCCCCCTGGGCCAGGAAGGGGCGAGGGGTGAGGATCTTTAGGGGAGGGGGGGGGGCATTGGTGCAGGTGATTTTGTGGGATCTGCAGCGCCTGTGGGACCTGTGGAGTGTTTGTGTCCTGAGGGATGTTTGGGTTTTCGGCGGGGCCCCCAATGCGGCCACGATCCTCGTGAGGGGTGCCGACATGGGCTCGGGCGCCATGCGAACGCAGCCTCTGGGGCCTTCGGGGGAGCTCCTTATGGGGCCGCGATCCTCGTGAGAGGTGCGTCGAAATTGGCGCAGCTGCTGGGGCGTTTCGGGTCTTATAGGGCCCTCTTGAGGGCCGTATCAGATCTGTATTGGATCCTCTACATGGCGAATCGGATCTGTATCGGACTTTCTACATGCCGTATCGGTTCAGTATAGGATCCGAAACAGGCCGTCTAGGATTTGCATCGGACCCTATACAGGCCGTGCCGGATCTGTGTCGGGTTCTCCACATATCGTATCGGATCAGTATAGGATTGTCCACAGGCCGTATCGGATCTGTATAGGATCCGATGCAGGCCGTATTGGATTGGTTCTTGGATCCGTATCGGATGTGTGGAGGGTCCGACACATCGTATCGGATCTGTTCAGGGACCAATACAGGCCGTGTCGGACACGTATAGGATCCTTTACAGGCCGAATCGGATCTGCACAGGATCCGAAGCAGGGTGTATCGGCTTTGTGAATGATCCTCCACAGGCCGTCTGTATAGGATCCTTTACAGGTTGTATCGGATGTGTAGAAGATTCTCTACAGGCCGTGTTGGCTTGTTTAGGATCCTCCACAGGCCGTGTCGGATCTGTACAGGATCCGCTACCGGCCGTATCGTTTTTTAAAATCGTATTTTCGACAGGCCATGTAGGATTTGTTTTGGGTCTTATACAGGCCGTATAGGCTGTGTATAGGATCCTCCGCAGGCCGTATCGGATTTGTTTCGCGTCCGGTACAGGCCGAGCCGGATCTGCATAGGAACCTGAAAAGGCTTCGTGGGCACTGAACAGGATCCAAGACAGGCCGTGCCAGCTCTAAAAAGGATCCTTTGCAGGACGTGTCTGATTTGAAAAGGATCCTCCACACGCAACGTCGGATTTGTATGGAATCTTGTGCACGCCGTGTCGGATCTGTAAATGATTGTATGGGGCGTAATCGGCTCTGTATAGGATATTCCATCGGCCGTACCCGATTTGTATAAGATCTTATACAAGCCGTATCGGATCTGTATAAGATCCTCTGCAGGCCGTGTCGGTTCTGTACAGAATTCAAAACATGCCGTATGGGGTCTGTCGAGGATCCTTTATTTTCGGTATCGGATTTAAAATTATCCCGGCGAAGGGCCCAACCATGTGCAGCTGTGTGTAACGCAGGTGTGGGTATCGTCCTCGGTGAACCTCCCTCTGAGACCACGACGCGTGTGACGGGTGTGCCAACATTGGCACCGGTACGCCATGCGGACGCTGCCACAGGAGCCGTCGGTGCAGCCCCATCTGAGGCCACGAAACGCGTGAGGGGTGCGCCGAAATGCAGGGTGGAACCACGTGCGGGCGCTGCCACCAGGGCCTTTGGTGGCCGCGAAACGTGGAAGGGGTGCGCCGAAATGGAGGGGGAACTGCATGCGGAACCTGCCACTGGGGCCCTAAGTGGAACACTCCATGGGGCCACGAAACGTGTGAGGGGTGCGCCGACATGGAGGGGGAGCTGCATGCGGACTTGCCACGGGGGCCTTGAATGGAGCACCTATGGGGTAAACGTGTGAGGGGTGCGCCGAAATGGAGGTGGACCTGCATGTGGACCCTGCCACTGGAGCCTACGGCGGAGCACCCTATGGGGCCACGAAACGTGTGAGGGGTGCGCCGACATGGGGGTGGAACTGCATGCTGACCCTGCCACTGGGGCCTTCCGCGGAGCACCCTATGGGGCCACGAAACGTGTCAGGGGTGCGCCGAAATGGGGGTGGAACTGCATGCGGACCTTGCCACTGGGGCCTTCGGCGGAGCACCCTATGGGGCCACGAATCGTGTGAGGGGTGCGCCGAAATGGGGATGGAACTGCATGCGGGCCCTGCCACTGGGGTCATCGGCGGAACACAACATGGGGCCACGAAACGTGTGAAGGTGCGCCGACGTGGGAGTGGAACTGCATGCGGACCCTGCCACTGGGGCCTTCGGCGGAGCACCCTATGGGGCCACGAAACGTGTGAGGGGTGCGCCGAGATGGGGGTGGAACTGCATGCGGACCCTGTCACGAGGGCCTTCGACGGAGCACCCTATGGGGCCACGAAATGTGTGAGGGGTGCGCCGAAATGGGGGTGGAACTGCATGCGGACCCTGCCACTGGGGCCTTCGGCGGAGCACCCTATGGAGCCACGGTACGTGTGAGGGGTGTGCCGAAATGGAAGTGGAACTGCATGCGGGCCCTGCCTCTGGGGCCTTGGGCGGAGCACCCTATAGGGCCACGAAACGTGTCAGGGGTGCGCCGAAATGGGGGTGGAATGCATGCGGACCCTGCCACTGGGGCCTTCGGCGGAGCACCCTATCGGGCAACGAAACGTGTGAGGGGTGCGCCGAAATGGAGGTGGAACTGCATGCGGACCCTGCCACTGGTGCCTTGGGCGGAGCACCCTATGGGGCCACGAAATGTGGAAGGGGTGCGCCGAGATGGATGTGGAACTGCATGCGGACCCGCCACTGGGGCCTTGGGTGGAGCACCCTATGGGGCCACGAAACGTGTGAGGAGTGCGCCGAAATGGAGGTGGAACTGCATGCGGACCCTGCCACTGGGGCCTTGGGTGGAGCACCCTATGGGGCCACGAAACGTGTGAGGGGTGCGCCGACATGGGGGTGGAACTGCATGCGGACCCTGCCACTGGGGCCTTGGGTGGAGGACCCTATGGGGCCACGAAACGTGTGAGAGGTGCGCCGAAATGGAGGTGGAACTGCATGCGGACCCTGCCACTGGGGCCTTTGCTGGAGCTCCCTATGGAGCCACGAAACGCTGTAATGGGTGGGTGAAAAGCAAGGAGGAGGGAGGAGAGGGAGGAGGAGGGAGGAGAGGGAGGGGGAGGGGGCAGCGGGAGGTGGGACCGCGGGGCGCTGTCTCTTCAAAACGAGGACCCAACACCACAGGATGGCTGGGGAAAAATTATCCTGGCGAAGGACCCAACCATATGCAGTTGTGAGTACCGCAATTGTGAATATCTTTTTCGGTGGCGAGCCCTATGGGGCCACGAAGCGTGTGAGGGGTGTGCCGAATTGGGTATGGCTGACGCATGCGGGCGGCGGCACTGGGGCCTTCGGTGGAGCTCACTATGGGGCCACGAAGCGCATGAGGGGTGTGCCGGAATGGGTTTGCGGGTCGCATGCGGGCGGCGGCATTGGGGCCTTCGGTGGAGCTCCTTACGGGAGCCACGAAACGTGTGAGGGGTGTGCCGAATTGAGTGTGGCTGACGCATACGGGCGGCGGCACAGAGGCCTTCGGTGAAGCTCCCTATGGGGCCACGAAACGTGTGAGGGGTGTGCCGAATTGGGTGTGGCTGACGCATGCGGGCGGCGGCACTGGGGCCTTCGGTGAGCTCCCTATGGGCCCAATGAGAAGAGCCGACAGAACACCGCACGGGCGGCCTCCAAAAACGAAACGTGGACACCGGTGTGCCGACTTGGTGTTGTGGCCTGACGCTGCGGCGCGGCACTGGGGCCTTCGTGGAGCTCCCGATGGGGACACGAAACGGTGTGAGGGGTGTGGCCGAATGGGATGGGGCCTGACGCGTTCGGGCGCGGCACTGGGGCCTTCGGTGGAGCTCCCTATGGGGCCACGAAACGTGTGAGGGGTGTGCCGAATTGGGTGTGGCTGACGCATGCGGGCGGCAGCACTGGGGCCTTCGGTGGAGCTCCCTATGGGGCCACGAAAGCGTGTGAGGGGTGTGCCGAATTGGGTGTGGCTGACGCATGCGGGCGGCAGCACTGGGGCCTTCGGTGGAGCTCCCTATGGGGCCACGAAACGTGTGAGGGGTGTGCCGAATTGGGTGTGGCTGACGCATGCGGGCGGCAGCACTGGGGCCTTCGGTGGAGCTCCCTATGGGGCCAGCTCCCTGTGGGGCCACGAAACGTGTGAGGGGTGTGCCGAAATGGGTGTGGGGACGCATGCGGGCGGCAGCCACTGGGGCCTTCGGTGGAGCTCCCTATGGGGCCACGAAGCGTGTGAGGGGTGTGCCGAAATGGGTGTGGGTGACGCATGCGGCGGCAGCACTGGGGCCTTCGGTGGAGCTCCCTATGGGGCCACGAAGCGTGTGAGGGGTGTGCCGAAATGGGTGATGATGATGATGGTGATGATGATGATGATGATGATGATGATGATGATGGGGTGGTGATGATGACGTCGATGATGTCGATGATGATCACTGTGATGACGAACACGTTTATGATGATGATGATGATGATGATGATGATGATGATGTTGATGATGATGATGATGAGGATGATGATGAGGATGATGATGATGATGATGATGATGATGATGATGATGATGATGATGATGATGATGATGTGATGATGAGATGGTGGGGGAGGAGGAGGAGGGGGCAGAGGAGGAGAGGAGAGGAGAGGAGAGGAGAACGCGGGGACCGTCTCTTCAAAACGAGGACCCAACACCACAGGATGGTTGGGAAAAAAGGGTCTTTTAGAAACCGCATCGGGTCTGAAAAGGATCTTCTGCAGGCCGTATCGGCTCTGTACAAGGTCCTGTACAATCGGTGTCGGATCTGTACAGAATCCGACGGAGGCCGTATGGGATTTGTTTAGAATCCGCCACAGGCCGTATCGGATGTGTATGGGGCCCTCTACACGCCGTGCCACGGAGTATTGAATTTTAATCTGATCTTCTACAGGCCGTATCAGATGTGTATCGGACTTCTGTGTGTATATAAGGTACCGGGTCTAGGATCCCATACAATCCCGATCGGATCGGTATATGGTCCTCCACAAACGCATCGGATCTGTATCGGGTCGTTTACGGCCGTATCGGATTTGTATGGGACCCGAACGATACAGGCCGTATCGGATGTGTATAGGCCCTCTACGGGCCGTATCGGATCTATCCAGGATCGTCTACAGGCTGCGAAGGATTTGTATAGGATTTTCTACAGGGCGTATTGGATATGTATAGGATCCTCGACAGGCCGTATCGGACTTGTTCAGGACCGCTTACATTCCGCATTGGCTACGTGTGGGATCTTTTACAGGTGGCATCGGATCTGTATAGGATCTGAAAATATGTATCGACTTTGTGATAATCTTGTACAGGCCGTATCGGCTCTGTATAGGATCCTTTACAGGCCGTATCCGCTGTTTTAGAAATGCTCTACAGGCCGTGTCGTATTTGCATCGGGTCCTACAGCGGGCGTGTCGGCGTTGTATAGGATCGCTTGTAATCCGTTTTTTTTTTTTTTTTTTTTTTTTTTTTTTTTTTTTTTTTTTTTTTTTTTTTTTTTTTTTTTATTATTATTATATATATATATTTATATTATGTATATATATATATATATATAAATATTATATATATATACGATCTTCTATATGCTGTATCGGATCAGCAGAGGGTCCGATACAGGCCGTATGGGACATGTAGAAAATCGGTCCTGTACAGGCCGTAACGGATCTGTCGGACGTGTATAGGACTTCCATAGGTAGTATCGGATTTGCATCACATTTTCTTCACAGGCCGTGGCGGATCTTTCTCGGGTCTTCCACAGGACGTATCGGATTTGTCTGGAACCGATAAGGCCGTATCGGATGTGTATAGGATCTTAAACAGGCCGCGTCGGCTTTGTAAGGATCCGATACACGTCGTATCTGACCTGTATACGATCTTACAAGAAGGCGGCGTCGGATCTGTATAGGATCCTTGGCAGGCACCATCGGATGTGTATAGGTTTTCTTTCAGGCCGTATCGGATGTGTATAGGATCTTCTACATG